GTTGCATACCAGTTTCAGTTTCTTTGTGCTATAATAGATATAGAATAGTAAATGGTGCACATTTTTATTTTTGAGTAAACCATTTCTTTATCATAAATTAAAAATGTTTACATAATTATAGTCAGGGCTTGACATTAACACCCACCAAATGCGGGTAGATTTCAGCTGTGGTGGGTTAGACAAACATTTCCACTAGCCACTTTATCTGGTTGAAAATTACACACAATGTGTGTGCAAATGTGATCTAAGCAGTAAGACACGGTTGTGGGGGGTTCAATTTCACTATACGAAAGTGTTTGGGACAAATAAAAGACAGATTTGATTTGATTTTATTTGATTTGATTTGACAGATAAAAAAATTGTGTTTGGGCAAGTAAAATAAAGCAGGATAATCATTTCTGTGTACAGTGATGTGATACTCACAAATTTAAAAAACGTGCATGCTTCCGTTTACTTGCACAAAACAACCGTGCTTAGAGTTAACGCAAATGGTGCTATCGATTCTATTTGAAATAAGGTAGACTGGACAAAAATATGTACACCAGGGTTGAGCATTGTCGACCAATTTGGCATTGTACGATGTCTAATGTGAAACATCGCGATGGACGATGGCATCGTCGTCGTAGGCGCTGGTGAATTATTTATTTATGAATAATTCATTATTTGTAGCCTACCGTTTCAACTGCCTGACCTACATGGTCTTTGTTTTACCCATAACCAAATCATAAATAAATAAAGATAAGTTACACACAAATAACCACTTGCCAGTCACTTTTCCACTGGACTCTGGTATGAATAGGCTATGTGATCTGCGATGCTGGCTCAGCATCATGATGTCTATTGACCATAGGCGATGGACGATGGCATTGTCTATTGAACCAACCCTAATGTACATTACAGGTCAAAAGTTTGGGGTCATTTTTTTCATGTTTTTTTAAAGAAAATTTGCATTTGTTAAATGTAAAAAATAATTGTTAAATACTCTATTAAATATTTATTTATAACTTATTGTATGTATTTTCAAATAAAATTATTGCTCTAGTCATTAATAATAATAATAATAATAATAATAATAACAATTGATAATAGAGTGATTTCTGAAGGATCGTGTGACTAAAGACTGGAGTAATGAAGCTGAAAAATCATCTTTAAATTCAATAGAATAAATTATTAAATAAAATTCTAAACTACTTTTGAACAGTTATTTTATAATGCGATACATTACAGAATTGTAAAAATTTTTTTCTTTATTTTGATGAATTAAATGTAGCCTTAGTGAACAGGGTAAGCTTATTTTAAAACATTAAAAAATTCCACTGACCCCAAACTTTTGAACGGTAGTGTATTTTTATACCATTTTGTAAGCAGTAGCGGTTGCTGCATTTTTGCTTTGAGATTTGATTTAAAATTTGTGGCAAAAAAAAATTATTTATTTTTGGTGTGGTCAGAGATACATTTGGTAAATCCTTAATATTGAGCTCTGAAAAGTCGTGTGAAATAAAAACTAATTGCAATGCGACACTATAAAACCACAACCCATTTGCTTATGCTCATGAGCAAGGTCACACAAAAAAGTGAAATAAACGAGGAGGCATGTGGACATAACATAAAACCTAAATTAAGTCATTTTAGCATACCAAAGTCAAATTTCTGCATATAAAATGTGTTTTCCCAACAACAAAATCGTGGCTAGTGAAAATGGCGAGTGGCTATTAATGTTAGAAATCTACTAGACACAGCGGGTGGTCATGAAAAAAGGTAATGTAAAGCCCTGATTATAGTTAAAATTAGTTTCAGCATTTACTAATACTAGAGTTATTTTTGTCATCTTTTGAGTTCACATTAGCTAATGCATTATCGATTAACAAATGAAACCCTAATGTACAGTTACCAACTTTTAAAAATGAAAATAGAAACACTTGCTTTGTCTAGCCTGAAGCTGTTTAAAATGCAAGAGTGTGTCTTGTGTGAGCGGCAACTAACTCCGCTTATACTCCGCTTATTTCTTTTTGCAGACATCTCTGAGCTGCTTATCAGGAATGTGGGATTCAGTAATTGGTTTTCTGAGAACTTAATAACCCAGGACCATCACTGTCAGAGGCGTTTGATTACCTCTCACTCTGAGTATTTATCTACAAAAAACAAACTCCTGTTTTTTTAATGTGACACACATTTTATTGGTATGTTTTACATAAAAAAGATCATAACTTGATTTAACAATAGACAACACAGCCAAACTTCCCTTCCCTGATCTTGTTTCGCTTTTGCAATTTTCCATTTATCTTTTTTTTCTTTTTGCCCCCTCTCAGGAAACAAAAGATCAATTTTGCGAGAGCACTGGCTCCACCCCATTCCTCTTCAGTGTTTCTTGTAGCCACCTCGCACTCGCTTTCTCTCTCTCTCTCTCTCTCTCTCTCTCTCTCTCTCTCGCTCTCCCACTCCCATAAATGCAGTGACACTTGCTTTCTGTGTGTGCATGCGTGTTTGTCCGAGTGAGAGAGTCGAAATAGAAAGTGAGGGAGCTGGGGGGGAGAGAGAGGGAGTTGGAGAGAAAGAGAAACACAAGGAGGGGTGGCAGCGTGCGTGTTGAAGCTAGCTACTCACAGAAAAGAAGGAATAAGAAAATTGAAGTAGCCGCCATATGCTGAGGATTTTGGTGAATGCCTTGCTGAGGAGACACTCTCGTATTTCTGGCGGATCCTAAGAGATGGGAAGCTCACACTTGCTGAACAAAGGCTTGCCTTTAGGTAAACGTTTACCTTTCCTTCTGCATGGGGGCCACGCGTCAGAAGTGTTGTACGGATACGTGAGGCAATATTTGAGTTGGTTCGGCTGTCGTACAGTATTCTGGCTTCCCCTCCCCCTCTTCCTTTCCTCCTCCCCTCCTCTGTGCTCCGCTTTTCCCTCTTTCCTATTATCTTTCATCTCAACCATTCATCCACGTACAATCGCTCGCATTCTGCTTTCTTCATCCCAGAGACAGGGCTGATGGCTCGCTTTATTAGCTGCATGAATCTTTCCAAGCTCGAAAGATAAAAAAACCACACACACTATCCCCTCTGGAAAATTTGAGGGGTTGGCAAGGACATGACTCTCTCTCTCTCTCTTTCTCTCTCTCTCTCTCTCTCTCTCCTTTGGCCCTCCCGCACATTGTGCAGTGGAAATGTGGCTTCCAGTTCCGGCCTTGACTTACTTCCTAATTTTGCTCTCTTCGAAAGAAATTCTTATGCTAGAAAAGTCAAAAAGCAGGAATACTTAGAATAGGGTTTTCATGGAAATAGTTGCGTAATTCTAGGTAACAGATTTATTGTTGAACCGTAGATAATTGTTGTTATAATCGTTTAATCTTAGACAAATTTGATTGACTTTGGATCTTTCTGATCTGTCGAGAAGATATTTTCGTACATATTACGTTGATTTTCAGGAGGCTGTGTAATGAAAGTTACAGACAAACGCTATTCATGATATACTCAAGTGACTCCTCTATTTAATTGATCAATCTTAGACAAATTTGACTCACGTTGGATCTTCTGATCTGACGAGAACATAATTTAATTCATATTTCATAGATTTTCAGGAGGCTGCCTATTAAAAGTTACAGACAAACGGAATTCACGATATACTCCATGATTCCTCTATTTGAAAATTCTCAAAACGTTCCCAGGAAATTACACTGGCTTTCCAAGAATTACGAAAAATAGGATTCACCCCTACTCACTTTGTGACTAGTAAAACCGAGTCATTAAAAAAACTGATTTGTTCTTTTCGCCCGATGAATGAGAGGTTGGGATTTAAAATTGGCTTTCATTTTCACCAGAAGGCAACAAAGGGGGCATGTCAGCTTGAATTATCGCCCGTGGGCAGTCGAGGTCTTTAGACTCGGTGTGTGACTGACCCTGTTGGTTCTTGTTGCTATGAACTAGCTAATTCAAACAGATCCAGATCACCCTCGGGGCAGGGCAATATGAACAGAGCGCCGAGGGATTTTGACAGAACTGTGTATGGTGTGAGAAAGCGCCATGTGTTTTGCTTTTTTCCTCCAGTGCTTGATTTACCTGTGATCTTGCAAGCTGTGTTTTTTTTAATTGTAGCTTTTAATCCCCAAGCTTTTATGCATGTGCGACTGTCGTTGCTAGTTTGTCCTAATCAGAGAAATAAAAAAGAAAATAACAGTGGCTGTGTTCGAAGATAATCGGATCCTGCTGGGGTAGTTTAGATGTCACTGACACATAATTCATGGTTGTAAAAGTTCACCTTCATTACAAATGGAAAAACAGCTGGTTGTGTATGGGAACGGATGCTCGAAAGTGAGGGATCTCCCAACAGAGGTAAAAGCTCTTGTTTGTGCGTAAATGTGTGCATGTGTGTGTGTGAAAGACTACCCTGAGAGCAGGAGTGGGTGTGTCTGTGTCTTATGGGCATGATTACACCATGTCTGCACTTGCCAGGCTGTGAATGGTAAGATTGGGAGAGGTCACAGGTGCACATATTGTTCTTTTGTGAGTATATTATTAAAAAATAGTTAAATGTCTCCCTTTTAAACGATGCTGAATATCATGTTATGTTTGAGGTGCAGGAATAAACTTGCTTATTCTCTATTTCTTAAATCAAATTGATTCTAATTTCAGTGTTAGTTTATTTATAAAAAAGTCTTCTGATCATCAAGGCTGAATTTTTTTCAGTAAAAACGATACAATAAAAACAAGTTTTATGAAATATTATTTAAATTTAAAATAACTTTTTTTTTATTTTTGAAAATGTAATTTATTTGTGTAATTCAAAGTGGAATATTCAGCATCATAACTACAGTCTGATTCTTCAAATATCATTTTAATATGCTGGTTTGTTACCATGGAAGATGTTGAAAATTCTGTTTCGTATTTGTTGTGGAAACTGATATATTACTGTTCAAAAAGTACCATTCAAAAACATTATTTTCATCAAGGACAAACTGATGAATTTCTCTGTTAAGTGTGATGTCACGCTAAGTGGATTCCGGGTCCAATCGTTAAATCAAACTGTATGGGGTGACTCAACAAATTATAATAATAAAGGTTTACAAAGCAATGTAATACTTTTGAAAAATCCCGATCACAATACAGTGTTTATACGATCCTAGGAAAAGTCATGGGATATGGACAAGGGATTTTCCAGGCCTGGAAAAGTTTTTGGAAAAACAAAAAACCCAAAATGTTTTGGAAAATTCATGAAAATGTGTTTAACAAATATCTGTGTACTTGAATATATTTGAGATAATAATATCGAGTAAATTTTAAATACAATTGCGCTGGTTGTCTTTTCACAACTCACAGTTTTAGCTTCGCCTCTCGTTCACTGGCGTTCATCGTAATTCAAGAAACATTTTGAGTGGTGTGTCCCGAAACAATCTCTAATTACTACAGAGGTAAGATACTGTGGGTGCTAAAGGCTCATTTATAATACAATATACTATTATTTATAACACAAGCCAACATTTCTAAAATATTTTCACACGGACAGCAAGATACTTTCTAAAAACTATTTTGCAGATGTAAAACTTAATATAAACTACACAGATAGTCACACATTTGTTGATATGCTGTAATAAATTTGAACATACATTTTGCTTCTTGTTTACCACGTGTACATAGACATTACATAAAACATCATGAATATTTACCTTAAAGTTTTGGAAAAGTCCTGAAATTTTAATAGTAAAAATGTGTATAAACCCTGTGTATATCCATGCCTAATATGTCAGATTGCCAAAAAATCTTTTTATAAATTGTTAAAATATTGGTGTCTGTGATGCAGTAAGTCCAGAGACTGTCATGTACACCATGATTTTAGATTAAATTCACTTTAATGTGTAATGATAATGGGGTAATAAACAAATATTTTCTGTGCAAATGAGTTGTAGCTTGGACCTGGAAACTATTTTCTATACAATACGTCACAACTTAACAAGCAAATAATGACAGTAACGTTATTTATGATATTCACAAAAATACAGTTATTCTGACTGTCAATAAGTGTTAAAAAATATCATGGCTTCCATAAAAAATATTAATATCTGCTTCATTTAAAAGTTTAGTTAGACCAAAGACTCTAGAATACACATAAAGGGACTTTGGTTAAACCTAAAATTATACAAGTTCGTGTTATATGGCAGTGTAGTAACCTTTTTAACTTTTGAACTCGGTTCTTGAATGAGGCCAGGTTTTTTTATTCATATTATTCTTCCAAAAATTGGCATTAGTATGATTTCTCAAAGAAATTAATACTTTTATTCTGCAAAGACACATTAAACCGATGAAAATGACAGTTACAATTTTTCAAAAGATTTCTGTTTGATATATTCATCAAAGAATCTTGAATAAATGTGTTATGGTTTCAACAGAAACAATAGGCGGCATGCTTTGTTTTGATAAGATGTATTTTGGCCTTTATTGTAATAGAACAGCACATCACAGACTAACAGGAAGTGAATTGGGAGTGAAGGAAAGGAAAAGGTCGCTAAGCTGGCACCCGAACTTGGGTCAGCTATTGACTACACAGAAGATTAATTTTATTAAGATCATGAAAATAATAAATGATTCTTAAGCTCCAAATCGACATGTTAAAGTTATTTCTGTAGAATGACATGACACTGAATACTGAAGTAAAGGCTGATGAATATTAAACTTCACAATAACAATAATAATAATTAAAAAACGTAAAATAGTTTCTGTAATAGCATTTCTAATCACTGTTTTTACACAAAGTTGGTTAAATGAATCGGCCTTGGTTTAGCAAAAGTAACTTTTTTTTTAAACTTGGGTCTTACTGGCCCCAAATTTTGAATTAGCAGTTGGAAATCTATTGGTCGATGTTGTTTTTTAAACTGACACCAGGCAGAATGCCAGCTTCTGCTATACTCAGCCAAGCGGCAAACTTATCGCCAATGTCAATACAGCAGTAACTGCCCACCTTTTCAGCTGCCTGTATCAGGAAGTATTTTTTCTCATTCATTTTCTCTGCAAGGATTTAAACCTGCCACATCAGAGATGAATCGACATTACAAACATTGACTGAATACAAAAAATGTTTGATAGTAAAAGATAGCAAGGAACTGCAATACCATGAAGCCTTGAGAATGCTACAACTTAACAATGGTTTAGTACTTGATTTATTTTTGTAAAGCAGAAGTAAGCGATTTTCTCTAAATGTAGCAGACTTCCACATAACTTATTCAATAAGGACATACCTAGGAATAACAAAACGATGTAAACTGTAAACAGCTATGTTTTTCAGTGGGTCAATGTAAATACAGTCGATGGACTTGAAAATTCAGACGATTAACTATTTTATTGAGCAAAAACTCCAAAAACTGTTGAGGAGATCACATAGCTTGTTTTACTCTGCTCTTTTCACAGACACAGACACAAACATACATTGCCCTCGTCTTTGCGCGCGCGCGCACACACACACAAAAACACACACTCACACCTCCGGACGACAACGCGCGCACACACACGCACAAACACACACGCATACCTCCGGACGACAACGCACGCGCACACACACACTACCCTCGTCCACGGAGCTGCGTAAACAAAGCAGCACGCGTTGCGTTTTTAACGTGACTTTATACGCCAGTTAACCTGATACAGTACACGCGGTTACAAGTAACAAATCACAACTAAATACATTTGCAAGCTAGAGTCAACGAGGCTACAACTTTAATCGCACGTACTTACACTTGAGAAATGGAGGAAGCAACCCATCCTGACGTCCAGCAGTAAGTTACTCTTTACTGATCCTTCCTTTAACAAACGCAGATGAAGTATACTTTGTAGCATGTAGTTTGCAGAAGTTTCCAGTAGTTTCCAACTGCTTGGTTATAATGCTGAGGTTTCATCTTTGGGTAGAGACTCGATATAATATCCATCTGCAGTGTGACTTCAATCGACCGGCATGTTTGTGTGTGTGTGTGTGTGTGTTTGTCTGGGTTTCTGCGTCAGAGGGCGGGGCCTCAGGTTTGAAATCTCCCGGGTTTGCGCGTGCACGTGAATAACTTGGTTTCGTTCGTACGTCATGGCGAAACACCTAATGAATCGGTATCAAGGCGACTCGTTTGAAGCACTATGAGTCGACTCTTTTATAGATGAATCAACCGTTTTAAACACTGTATTCTTACAGATTTAAGCCTAAGCTGGATACTTCACTTCACTTAGAGCTGTGTTACACACTACATGGAGGGGAATTTTCAAAAACCCATAATATGGGCTCTTTAAATAAACAGTGCTTTTACTGTGGAGTTTAACAGTATTAAATTCAAAAAATAACAATCAAATGAAAAATAACATGCATTGCATAAATAATTTTATACAATAATGTTAAATTAAAATCGTGAAAAGTCACGTCAACAGGTCAAAAGTCCACAGAGTGTGTGTGTGTGTGTGTGTGTGTGTGTGTGTGTGTGTGTGTGTGTGTGTGTGTGTGTGTGTGTGTGTGTGTGAGTGAGTGAAAGAGAGAGAAATGGATTTTACTTTCATTTTCTCAATCACAGTGAAATAGGGCCTTCTGCTGTTTAGTGTCAGTGAAAGACTGTCCAGCAAACTCACAAGCAGTGAATTGTGCAGGGTTTCTGCGTTTGTAAGTAGTTGGAGTGTTTTAATTACTCATGCTCGCCTCCCTTGCCACAGTATCACAATAATTAACCCTGAAAAAGCCAAAGCAAAGCAAATACTACCAGATTATTATGGTATAATTACAGCACTACAACATACAAAAGAGAGAGATTGACTTAAAGTGTCACTCACCTCTTTTATAATGATTTGATCAGCTGTAGTTTGAAATTATGCTAAGTTTTTCTTTTCTAACAACTTATTATGCAGTCTCTGTTGCCTTCTTGTGGTGGAATGTCCACTGTCTTTGCTTTGCTTAGGATGACAGTCTGATGGATGCTGACGTGCTGTACTGTATCCCCGAAATTATAAATATTTAAAATAGGCACTGTACTTATAAATTAACTGCATAGTTGCAATCTAATTCTAACATTCTAGCCTGAAAAAGCCTCAGAAGTACATTATGTTTTCCAACAGCTGCAATATTTGTCAAAGTGAGTTTGTAGTGATCAGTCATCAAAGGTGGAGGAGGTATCATGACATTACCTTTACCGGATCATGACATTTTTGCTGCTTAAAAACACATTTAACATTTTTCTTGCAATCTTATTATCTTATTTAAAGAGGATAGCATTAATGTTATTAAACGTAATTAAATACATGACCAGGGCTTGAACATCACTTTGGGTCTGGCAGTAGCCGTTACTGTAATTCTTTGAGGAAAAACCCAGTGTATATATTGGAAATGTTGGTGGTCTTAGATCAGTAAATAACATGCGGAGCAGAGCTTATAATAGCACAGCTTGAGGCGAAGACAGAAAAATGAAACAGGTGTTCATTCATTTATTACACATCATCTGTTCTGCATCAGCTGCAGTTACATTAGGATTAGAAGTCCATTGTTTTTCATTAAAGCTGATTTACACAAGCATGTGTGGATTTCCTCATGATGCCATTAGTTGTTGTATAAATTAGTCAGTATTAAGTGTGTGCTTTATTATGTATTATAGCCAGGTAATTGTATAACCATTTGTTTTGATCAAATGTGACTGACCAGTAATTGACATGTTTCACGCGCTGTTCGTTAGTGCAGTGCAAGGGAAAAATGGATATATTTTGAAATTTTTCACCCAATAATCAATCAATTAATTCCTGTGAACAATTTTATGTTAAAAAGGTCTTGATTTCAGGAACATATCAGCATTAGTTCTCTCGATGTGTCCTTATAAAAGCCACAACAGCTCTCTTTCTGTAGTAGCTGCTCCAAAACATGAAAAAACTGTTTTAATATTGAGCAATAAAGGCAGGAATCAGTCAACCAGATGCTAACACACTGTGATGTCTTTTTCTGTGCTTATGAGTCACTTTATTTTAAAGATCTTTTCATAATAACTATATTATGGCGTTCAATATTTGTGGTTTGTGCCTCGAGCCAAGTAGTAGCAGGTCTCCTTTTTTTCATTACAAAAGATTCATACAGACTCTACATGGAGTCTTGTCAGATCAGCGTGTTAACCGCGCTGACATCTGCCGTGCTTGTTTTAGTGGAATGGACTTGCTCGTTTAGCGTTTGTTGCGGTGTAAAGTGGCTGAAACGTGACACTATAATCTGGTGATTGCTCTGCATTGGTTGGCATCCGTCTGTACAGTGTGAATTAGTTGTAAACATACTTGAGCGCAAGTTCAAGATGTGTAACACTTGATTTATTTCTGTCTGCAGGCATCAGGCCTCCCATAATGAATGGCCCCATGCACCCTCGTCCTCTGGTGGCCCTGCTAGATGGACGGGACTGTACGGTGGAGATGCCCATCTTGAAGGACGTGGCCACTGTGGCGTTCTGCGATGCCCAGTCCACTCAGGAGATCCATGAGAAGGTAAATGTTCAAATGCAGTTTCGTTTACGATTAGTTTTGTTCAAATTTTTTAACAAATGTACTCCACACTAATATGTTTTCTATTAAACATATTCTTATCCGTTTTTGGCTTTCCGTTCATACCGAGACAGAATTTGTGGTCTTTTTGAATCAATCTTTTTGAAAACACTATATAAAAGGGATACATTTTAAATAGGAAAAAGATTACGCATTTTTAGTCATGTGACCAATTTAGATAAAATGGTGGATGACACTGTAGAGCAGTTGTTTTGGATGCTTTCCATTTTGACTGCATTGTTTAAAGTTAATGTTTGTTTGCACATGCTTCTTTCTTTGATGGACACTGGATGTTTATTCAAAACTGCTGTATTGGAATTACTGTTGTGTTGTTGCATTTGCAACTTTGTACTCCCATTTTACTCACAGCAACAACTGTATCACTGTTGGCCTATTAAAAAAGGGGGAGCTTTTTGGAGCTTTGACATTTGGCCTCAACGTATCAAAGAGCTGAAAGTTAAATAATCACTATACAGACATGAAGCAAGGTCAAAGAAAGCGTTTTACATCTTGAAGCATGCACAATAAAAGCGTTTTCTGTGGTTTCAGTGTGGATGACCAACTTTGGGAAGCTTTTGAAAATGATAGCGTGGATGTGCTTGGGCAGTTTTTGAAATGTATCCGGATTAATGTCGACATTAATCATAGGTTATCTCCATTCTAAATAAGGAAATTTGCATAATACAGATATCTAAGCATTTATATTTGAAAGCCAATAAGTGATAAATAGGCAGATTAAAACAGGTCTTGATAGTCAGAAATAAATACTATTTATTTTAACTTAAAACATTTACTAAAAACAAAGAAACTACTTATATACATCTAGATCTTTTGCCAAAAGGATCTAAAAATCGGAATTTGTTTTTCTTTCTTTTTTCTCTCAGTGAATAACTCCCACTTCGCTGAAATCTATTTGTTCCTTTAGTATAAAAAGTTTCTTAAGTGTGTATCTGCTGTGCTGCATGTAGCATGCTGTGTAATGTAGAAGGCACTAATCAAATCCCCATGCCCAGCAGCACACAATAAAAAGTTGGAAGAAGTAATCGTTTTTTTGCTGATAGTTCATTTTCCTACCAACCTGATAACAATAACGCTAGACATCAACGTTTATCGGCCGATACCGATATGGTCACCGATATGTAGTGCACAAAAATCAAGCACAAAAACAGCCAGACACAGGAAAAGTTTCTTTCCTCAGGCCATCTACCTTATGAACAGTTAAATATCCCCCAACTGTGCAAAAAATATGTGCAATACTTTCTCATACGCACTTGTACACAGCACCTTTTATCAATATACAATGCAATACTTTCTCCATTCGCATTTGTACACAGCACCTTATAACCTGTACATTTATAACAAATCTGTACATACAAGTCAACATCCAGATTTCTTGACCAACTGCATCTCTGTTTAATGTTTATCGTCTTTTTTCATATTTATTTTGTGTTGTCACTTGTCACTTTATGTACAATGGAAGCTTCTGTAGCTAAAGCAAATTCTTTGTGTGTGTGAAGCACACTTGGTAATAAAACTGATTCTGATTCTATTGCAAATGTAATTTTAACCTGTCTAAAGGAACGTTTCACGCATAAGCATTACTTCCTGAGGGTATGAAATCCTTCACTAAGAACATGGTTAGCAGTGTTAGGGGCTGATCACACCGAACATGGTTTTTGTGTTGAGAAGTGCCTTTTTTTTAATTGATTTACTAACGGCCGCGAGGGTTTAACCGCCTGCTGCACCTCAATTACGTCAGTTGCATCTTTTTATTTTTCCAATCAAATGAAAGCAGAGGCGGGGTTTCTGTTGAGGTGCCTGCACTATTTGTGTTGTCAAGACAACTACGGAGACTTTTAAAGATGGAGGAGAGACTTGTGGTTGCTGTTTTAAGTTATCTGGTGCTGTATGACTCACAAATCTTGAATATCACAATACTATTAAATATTAAAATTATACTAATATCAACAGCAACACTAGCGCACAATACGCAGCTGATTTAGTCTTTGCCTAGCGACATAAAAAACGCACCGTGCTTCTTTTTTTCTTGTCAACAATAAAGGCAGTGTAGTGCTCCTTGCGTTTTTGGAGTGGAAAAGCATGTTCAATGTGATCGGCCTCTTAGGCTGCGTGTCCACCGAAGTGTTTTTGCAGAAATGCAAGCACTTTTCTAAAAACCATCGTTTATTTCCATTGCTTGCTATGATTATGAGTATCCCCACTTTACCATTAAGTTAAGAGTCTTTAGCAGATTATTTGCTGACAGTCGTGTGATTGTGTCCTGGCCCTACTCCACTGTGATCGGACAGCTAGCTTAAAAGTGACACTGATGGGTGCTGTGTTTTTAACTTGCACTGCTTTTGCTAGGCGATAAAAAAAAATTGCTGCAATCATGAACGGCAACAAAAAACAAGCACTCAGCTTGAGAAAAAAACGCTTCGGTGGACACGCAGCCTTAACTCTACATTGTGGTGTGAAGTGGGCAGTGTAAAACAATGTGCTGCTAGTCGTGTGCTTTTATGTTCATGAGCTTTGGACAGTCATGGAAACGCAGCACATTTTGCTTATGTGTTGTGTTTCCATTGTCAGTGGTTGCTTTAGCATTTGAAGAGAAAAATGCCAAGGGCTGATGGAAAATGCATCAGTTGGAGTGTAGGAGGTTTAGTAGGTAGTAGGTTTAATTATTACCTTTGCAGTCTAAAAAGTTAATTCAGGAAAATCTTGATAGCAGTTGGGAATTTAAAACATTAGGATACAAGGTTTGATCTTATAGTGCTTTTTAAATATTTGTAGACTTTGGTGAATTAGTGGCTGATATGTATTAATTCATAAGATCTCATTTATTCATTTTCCTTCAGCTTAGTCTCTTTATTCTTCAGGGGTCACCACAGCGGGATGAAGCGGCTACTTTTTCAGCATAAGTTTTACACAGCGGATGCCCCTCTGCTTGCAATCCAACACTGGAAAATAATCCTAAGATCTCATTCTTTCTCAAATGTAAAGAGTTTATATGCTCCCTTCAGATTTGCAAATTAAGATGTTAACCCAGGGTTTTGGAAAATATCATGTAAAGCACAGGTGCATGAAAACCCAGAATTAACGGTTCACTCTGGGTCAATTGTGAGCAGTGTAAAATATGAAGCAAGTTTCTTTTCATCTGGGGTTTAGAATAACCCACTGTTTTCCCCCAAATATATTTAATGATTTGTTTTCATTTTCCTCCATCAACTAGGCAGATAATAACAATGCAGCCTACAAAACAACATATGTACGTACATATATACATTTGCATACATGCAAATGACATAATAAAAAAATAATAAATTGAAAAAAATTATACTGAATTGAAACATTGAAAAATAATGATAAAATAATAAATCAATAAAAAATAAAAATACATGTTTACAAATATTCAATTTACATAATAGACACTTTTCACATTTCCAGGTTTTTCAGTAGCAGAAGTCATCATAGTTGGGTAAACTCAGAGTGCAGTAAATAGGAGATTATAGCTAACAATTTTTTTTTATAATCATATTTGCTAAAATAATAAAAGAAAAACGCCACAATGGTGTTATTGAGACTTTCAGAAAAAGGAAAAAAAAATAGTGTGAGACTGAAGATGGCAATTAGCGGTAATTTGTTTTTTATAATTTGATGCAAAGATGACATAAAACATTAATAAATTTTCATACGTTTTTAAAAAAAAATCAAAATGTTAAAAACTTTCAAGAATAATAGATTATGATGACCATTACACGCGTCATAACAGTCTTGTGAAAGAGGTTCATATTCAAATATGGTTTAAATAATCAAGTGTTAACTATTTAAAAGTGTGAAATGCTTTGATGTTGTATTATTTTTGTTTTACATTGCATTGGATAAGATGGTCTGCTGAATAAATGTTTTTTTTTTCATCTATGCTGGCACAACTAAGCAAGGTTATACTAGTTTTGGATTTTTCAATAGTTTTGACTTTTTGTTTTCAAACTCACTTAGTTTTAATTAGTTTTTAGAGGCCAATTTACTAGTTTTATTAGTTTTTATTTTTAAAAAATTGCTTAGTTTTAGTTTAGTTTTTATTATTTTCATTGTCAGTTTGTTTTTTGTTAATTAGTATATTTGTTGGGTACAAGATTCAAAATCATCAGATTAAATATTGTATGATAAAATCCCGTTAAAAAGAACAGTTCAGTCACGATCAGGATCAGTTATACTGAAATAAAACCCATTATTAAGCACAAATGGGTGAAATAATACTTTTAAGTGTCTGCTCAAGTCGTATTTAATGTTGTCACCATGCTGCTGTCCTGTCCAGTCATTGTTTTTGTTGTGAGAGCAACAGAGAAGATGACTGGAAGAAGACTGTCTGGATCTGGCCAATGGCAGTTGCCGTAATCGAAGTAAACAGATTTGACAATTCAGACAAATGAAGGACGTTTTTGCTATAATTTTAGTAAGTTTTAGTTTTGCATGTACACAATACAGTTTCAGTTAGTTCTAGTTTTTAAAAAAACTCGTTTTTATTTTGGTTTCAGGTAGCGAAAATGTTTTTTTCAAGTGTATTTATTTTGTTTGTTTTCGTTAACTATAATAACCTTGCAACTAAAGGCTCCTACACACCGGAACGCTTTTCATTTGCGTTTATCGACAGCGTTTTACGAGATGTTTTTCCGTATTCAAAACCAATCGATTTTCACTAGCGTCACTCAGAAGAGTATGAAAAATCACTCCTTGACGTTAAATGGCGCTACACAACTTTAAGCTTCTGACACAGAAGAAGAGGGGGAGAGAAAGTTCACACACTTGTTGTTTAAGTTCAGGTGACTCGATCAAGCATGGATGGTTCAAGCAGCAGCTCCAGCTTTAGCGATGAAGAAATGATCATTGTTCACCAGTGCAATCAGCTAAACATTCATATCGCCTATGGGCATCTTCTTCAA